CTTTCATAAAAGGAATTCCAATTGTAAAGGTGTCCCATTCTCCCACAGGGAGAGAAGGGGCACTCTGCACCACTGGGGGCTGGACAACACCTGCCAAGGGACAAGGCTCCAACTGGAATCTGCAGGGCACGTTTCTCTTCCTACATATTTAACACAACCAGCTGGTCCTAGAGCCCCGTCTACTTCCTTCTCCAGAGCTGTTGCCCAGAGTGTTCTGTGCGCCCCAGGTTTCACCCCTTCTGTGGTTTCTACTTCTTTCCATTCATACATGAAAAATACAATTTTTTCTAATGTGAATATTTTTCTCTGCCTGATTCTTGGTCCCTGACTACTGAATCAAAAAAAAAAAAAAAAAGACAGAACAAAAGAAAAAGATCTTTTGCAAATAAAACAAAACAAAAACCTACCTCTCCTGCATAGTCACGTGCTAACATTTTAAAAAAATGCACAGACATATGAACAAGAACATAGAAATTACCTATGAACCTCCCCTCTACTTTCGAGACCAGAAATGCCTTATTTCGGCGTCACTCACCCTAATTCCCCGCTCTGCATATTCACATGCCAGTTACCACAGAACAGAGTCGCAGACACCAGACGGCTGCTTCTCCTCCCAGCTACCTGACCTTGAGTGCATGACCTTGGGGTGCCACTTAACCTTCCCAGGGAGGAGAGGGCTTGCTCCACAGGATTGTTGCCAAGCCTCTATAACGTCAGACTCTGTACGAGCTAGGGATGTGGCCCAGCTGGCGGAGGGTCTGTCTAGCGGGTGTGGTGGCACATGACAGCAGGTAAGATCAAAGTCTAAAGTCACCCTCCTCTACATATAGAATTTGGGGCCAGCCTGGGCTACATGAGACCCTGTTTTACACGAACAAAAGGCACAGCAAGAGCTGCATACAGCCTGGCCACCGTTGGCGTCCATGAAATGACATCAGCTTAAACAGAAGCTTTCATTTTCATAAGTGAATCTCTATAGCCAACATCTTATGAATTGAAATACAATCTAATCATATATATTTAATATCTTATAAGTTAAAATACCAATCAGTTACTTACAAGTTGAACTGTGTGATGTGGACAATTCCAAACCTATGGTCACACAGGCAGCCCAGGTTAAACTCAGTGAGTCACAAAACCAAACAAAAAGACACAAATTCAGAAAAGGGAGGAGGGGTCTTGACAGGGATTTAGGAGAGAAAAGAGAGGGTGAGACGAGAGGAACCCAAATACATCATACACATGTGTGAAACTGTCAAAGAAAAGAATTAATGAAAGCTCGTCTTTAAATGAATAAAATAGGACATAACGGTGATTACTATCTCCTATGAAGCAGGCTGGTCAGAGCCCATGCTTAGTAGGCATCCTCATTAAATGGAATCATTTATTTTTAAGAGAGCCAGCTGCTCTTCTCAATGTCATAAAAGCACAGCCAGGTTAGGAGGGTCATTAGATCCAGTCCGGCTTCACTCGGCTTCATTAGCGCGACTATAAAGTGGCTTCCTGAGCATTGCGGCGTTTGATTTATGAACATCGGCTAAAACGAATGCTTCGCCTCTGGAGGGAACCAAACAGTGAGCAAATGTACTCCTAGAGCCTGAACAGAAATATTTTCTTCTGGACCCTGTGGGCAAGGGCAGTGACCACCTCCTGGGGCCCTGAAAGGAATAGGAGAGATGGTGGAGGGGGTTTATATCTCACAGGTCACGGGGAAACCACATTCCAGGGCACTCGTGCCTAACGAGACCTAGAACACACCCAGGGGAGGGAACGGACACCAAGCTTCAGCAGAGTGAAGGGCCAGGGTCCCAGAGATAAGTGACAGAGCTTAGGATGCCGGCAGATGCAGCAGAACCATCTAACGCCTTCCCCAACCCCAAGGGTCCCAAAGGGAGATGAGTGTCCTAAGTCCTAGGCAATGGCTCTGAATGAGCAGGCACGCAGGCCAAAGGCACAGTCACTTCACACCTAATGTTTCTATTCCCATCTGCTCCTGAGGCCAGATACCACCCAGGGGTAGCTCTGGGCATGTCTCATCTTCCCATCACGGGCTTTCTAAACCTGGGGAGACAGACAGCCTTGTCTTCCATCAACTCTCAAACCCCCACATACGTAAGTACAGGGAGTTGAGTGGTACACTCTCGTGGGGCCCCAACACACGGAAGGTGGCCGTCCCAGAGGGCTAACACTGAGCACCCTGAACAGCAAGCATAGTCTCGCTGACACAGTGGAAGGGGAAGCAGAGAACAGAAAGTGCGGGTCCTGGGCCCCATGGCGGCTGGCTTCCCTCTAGTTCCCCACACCTAAGAGCTGCTTTAATTAACACTGGAGACTGTGGAGTTCTGAGCGCTCCCAGCTCTCCTTCCTGGAGGAGCCGGGTCAAACCCAAGCCGCTCATCATTGTCCTCCTTGCCACGGCAGAAAATTACTTTGCCTCTTGGGAGAGAGCAAGCCACTATTCAATTTAAATTGGTTTCCACAGCTGGCTGGCTGGCGGCAGTCCCTTGGCAGAGACATTGGAGGGATGAGAGCAGACTCCCAAATGAGAACGACTCTGTCGGGATTGTTGCTGGAAAGGGCGAGGGAGGGAGGGGGGGCTGCTTTAGGAGGCCATGGAGTGGGCATGGACAGGGACCTTGACACTTCAAGTCAGGTCAACCAGCAAGGAATGTCAGGTGTAAAATGGGACAATCATAATCCTCAGCCAAAGAACCTGCTGGGCAAACTAAAAATACCCAACTGTCCACCGACTGGGGGACGGACAACATGTGCGTCGTGTGGTACAAAAGCTCCGAGTATTCTGACCCTTCACCTCTGCCTCTGAAGTGCTGGGGTTACCCATCAGGTAACTGAGGAATTAATTAAGGCAATTAAGGAATTTAAGGTTATCCTTGGCTCCGTACAGAGTTCAAGGCTATCCTGGGCTACATGAGACCTTTTTTTCTTTTTCTTTTTCTTTTCTTTTTTTTTTTTTTAATAAAAGAAAACGAAGGGAGGTGAAGACAGGGGAGAGATGGTGGGGTGCACAGGTTGGGGGAGAAAAGAAAAGAGAAAGCTAGTACAGCAAGGGTGGCCTCCAGGACATCACACCAAGCACAGAAGAGCCCGTCGCATGAGCATGAGTGAGGCATGCACTGTGCAGACAAAGAACTGTAGCCATGCGAAGCGAACCAGAAGTCCCTAAACAACGCCACATAGGAAAGGAGGGTGGCCGATTCCAAGTAAGCAACACAAGTGTCAAGAAATTGGGTTGTGGGGCTGGAGAGATGGCTCAGAGGTTAAGAGCATTGCCCGCTCTTTTTTTTTTTTTTTTTTTTTTTGTCTTTAGATATTTTTTATTTCTTCAATTTTTATTATCAGGAGTGACTGAAATAAAAAATATAATTGAGTCCCATCATTATTGTCATTATGGAAATGGCTTTGAGAAAACTGGTCAGATGAATATTATTGCTTCCCACTTTTCAACTGGTAAATAGTTGCCATTGATAAAACAGACAAGCCCAGAGAATCTGTCCAGAATGTTCAAGATATGGTGTATTATACAACATGCCTGTTCTCGGGGAGAACACCTACGACATAATTATGTGTACTTCTTGATCTCATCATACAAGACAAGCACAAAGGCACCACCCATGCCCCTGAGAACGTTGGACCATGCACCCTTGAAAAAGGCCTTGCTTCCTTCGTCACGAGCAATCTTCCTCCAGCAGTCGATTGTGCCTGTGTACATGATGTCAGTTCCTTTGCGTCCTGACTGCATCATCATACGACGGCGAACCGTGTCAAAGGGATAGGAAGTCAAGCCAGCGACAGCAGTGACAGACTGTGCAATCATCCAGCTGATGAAGATGTGAGTGTTCTTGGGATCTGGAAGCATTCCCTTTGCAGTGTCATAGATGCCAAAGTAGGCAGCTCGGTAGATGATAATGCCCTGGACTGACACATTAAAGCCTTGGTACAGGCCCCTAATCCCATCAGATTTGTAGATCTTAACCAGGCAGTCACCAAGGCCTTTGAATTCCCTTTCAGCTCCAGCTTTGCCCACATCAGCTGCTAGACGGGTACGGGCAAAATCAAGGGGGTACACAAAGCACAAGGATGTGGCCCCAGCGGCACCACCTGATGCCAGGTTCCCTGCAAAGTAGCGCCAAAACTGGGTCCTCTTGTCCACACCACCCAAAAAGATCTGCTTGTATTTATCTTTGAAGGCAAAGTTGAGAGCCTGGGTGGGGAAGTATCTGATGACATTGGCCAGGTTACCACGCCAGAAGGACAGGACTCCCTGTTCCTTGGGGATACGAACCACGCAGTCTATAATGCCCTTGTATTGCTTATCTGCCGTGATTTGCTTGCTGGCATGCTGCACCTGCAGCAGCAGCTTGACCCGCTCAATGGGCGCTACCGCCGTCTTGGAGATGGCTGCGGCCACTCCACCTGCCAAGAAGTCCTTGGCGAAGGACACAGCGGCATCTGTCATGATGAAAGAGAAAGAAAAGGCAGGGGAGCGCGGAACGGGACTGGCTTGACACCCGGCTTCGACTCCCGGACTCTGGGCCATTGCCCGCTCTTCCAAAGGTCCTGAGTTCAATTCCCAGCAACCACATGGTGGCTCACAACCATCTGTAATGGGGTCTGGTTCCCTCTTCTGGCCGTCAGGCATACATACAGACAGAATATTGTATACATAATAAATAAATAAATATTTAAAAAAAAAAAAGAAGAAGAAGAAAAAAAAAAAAAGAAATTGGGTTGTGTAGTCTTGAAAATGTGCTGAAAGGAAAACCCCACTCGGCTGAATCGAAGGCAGACTCCCTGGGTAGAACTGTTTTCCAGAGTGCCTGGGAAAGGCGCTGCAGTGCAGGGCTCAGAGCCGGCGTGGGAAAGGGTTCTGAGGCTCCAGCTGCCCTGTGGCCGAGCTGCCTTCAGTAGCACTAGGGTATGGCAGAGAGAGCTTTGCCATACTGTCTGCCCCAGAGTCCACTCTGGGCTGCAGCACTCACCAGCTGGAACGGAGGGCATGTGACTTCCACCTCTGGGACTCACAGCCTGCCACTCTACGGTGTTGATGGGACCGGTCTCACTTCGTGGCTGAGAGGAGAATGAAATGGCCAGGAGCTCTGAACACTACAGCTTCTGTGATCACCACCAACACAGCTCAGTCCCTGCAGCCCTGGGCAGCCTGGCTGTCCTCCAGGCACGTCCCATTCAGTAGCATGTGATGTGTATTCACTTGAGCCTCAAAACTAGACTTGGACATTTGTCCTGACGGCCCCATTCATCGCCCTAAGCTGGTCCTGCCAACATGCCTTCTTCCTATCCTAAGCATCGCCCATGATGTGAGGTCAGCCTTCAAGTCCGAGTGGAAGGGTGGGTCCCAGGCTGTACAGGGGTAGGCAAGGAAGGGTCCAGAGTCAGGAAGAAGCCATGGGTGTGGCAGCACAGAGCCCCACCTGGCTAGCACCGAGTAACAGAAGACTATTTGACTTGTACAGGATCCAATGTGCCTCCTGCCTCAAGTCCAAGGAAACGGGCTCAGAGATGCAACAACTTTTCCTGTGTCACACAGTTCTAAATAATCAAGCAAGAGTCAAACTCCATCTGTTTCTGTGAAGCACAAGTACCAGGACCCAAAGGAGAAGTGTAAGTGGAGGAAAAACTTGGGTTGAAGGACGGAGCAAAGGAAGTTCTGTTCCTACACACACACACACACACACACACACACACACAATCATGGTTGTAGAAACACCCAGATAAGGCTACACTAAGAGCATTACTGAAAATGTAGGACCTTAGCCCCACACCAGAAAAACTGAAATGATTCTTTGGCCCTGAAATAGAGGAACTGTACTAAATTATTTTTATATATAAAAAAAAGTACCTGTGTCAATCTAAAGAAGTTTGAAAACATCACCCCCAAATAATTCAGAAATACAGAAACACAGGTGGAGGGCTGGAGACCTAGGTCAGTGGTAGTACTTGCCTGGATTTGAACTCCCAGTATCTATAAAAGGAAGGTGGGGGAGGGATAGAGACTTGGAGGGAGGGCTGAGATCAGCACCAAGCGCTACTTTGCCTGGCCAACGGATCATAACAGACATGAAGCCTCCACTTCCTCCGGCTCTGGGTTTGTGCAGTTGAGCCAGCAGAGTGACGAGTAGCACCCTCACGCTGACTTTGCAGAGCCTCATGCACAGAGAGGGAAACTGAGGGGACGTTAATTGGTCCCTGATGGCCCTAGCCACCTAGCTCCAGCTATGGACCTGCAAGTTCTGGCCAGTGTAGCTCTAGCTGGGATCCTAAAAAACCCAAGGGTACTTTTCCCCACTTAGCCAACACCTCTGATGCCCAGGCAGGACAGAATAGAAAACACTTTGGCCCGCTGTCCATCCCAGGGTCCTAACTTACAGGTCTGAGGTCCACCCTCAAAGAGAGAGTTTTCTTTACCTGTAGACACCCTTCCCCAGAATTCTCAAGAAGAGCTGAGGTTGAGATCTCCAAGAACCTAAAAAAGCCAGACTGGGGTTCAGCACTGTTACACGGAGCTACAGTTTGGCCACATCTGGGCTCTTGTCCCATCTTGGCTCATCTGGGAAGTACCCTGTGGCCTGGCTACCTTCCGTTTGTCTTCTTCCTCTCCCCGTTGCCCTGGCTACACCTCCATAGTCCCTGGGAAAACACCTAGTCCTGATCCCAGGCTTTCCCACAGCCTCCCTCCGGCCTACCCCACTAGCAACTCAACTCCAAACACACCTCCTCAGCGAAACAAGCACAGTCACAAAGTTCTCCACCCCCGCCCCTAAGAGCCCCACCGGCCAGAACACCAGCCGCCCTAGGCCGCAGTGTACTCCCCAGCTAACGGTAGGCTGGCACTCATGCTTAGGTTACTCAGGCCATGCCTCATCATCAAAGCCTGGCTAGGAATAGCGCTGGCTGCAAAGTACTTAGCTTTAGAGCAAGGCATCTACACAGCAGGGCCTGAGGTTGCTCATCCATTCCACACCTCTGGTCCAGCCTGTGATGGATGACCTGAGCCAGGACACTCTGGAGAGAATTAATAATGACAGTGAGATAGTATGAATCAAGACTATTTCAGGTGACGAATCACCCAACATAGTGCTCAAGTTGGCTAGGCTCTCTGGACCCCAGCCTTCTCATATTCAAAGAAACGGTATTACGAGGATCTACTAAGGTGATCTGTGTAGCCCAGATCACTAACTAATGGCAAACTATAAAACTGCATGTCCAAAAGCAAGTGTTTCGTTCTGCTTCTTAATTTACAAGCAACACAGACTCATGAGCTCATCTGAATCTAACTTGAGTTTGGGCAAGACCCTTGGTTCTGGTGATGGCAAAATGAAAGGGCTTGACCACCCTTGAGTTAGAAACTCAAAGTCACAAAGTGGGAGAACCATGTACCCCATCTGAAGATGCTTAGGGACACTAGCTGCCATAGTTCATACATCATATCTTCAAACAAGGTGGAAAGATGTCACTATCTGGGCATTAGCAGGTAAAGTCTGCGTTTTAACAATGTTTCAAAGCCAGGTCTTGTTTTTTTATGATACGTGAGCAGGGACCAATCTAAAGCTTATAGGTGTGGTTGAAACAGGTGAGTGAACTCTGTCTTTTCTTTTCTTTCTTTCTTTTTTGTTTTGTTTTGTTTTGTTTTTCAAGACAGAGTTTCTCTTTGTAGCCCTGGCAGTCCTGGAACTCACCCTATAGACCAGGCTGGCCTCCACTTTCCTCTGGGTGAGCTCTTTCAAAGAACAGACATGTACACAACCCAGAGACGGCAAGGCTTGTGTTGGTAAGTCACCCTGAGACCAACCTTCTCTAGCTCCAGGGTCCTTCGGGCTGGACCTGTCATCACGCTATCCCCTCAGTTCTTCCCCACCATCCCAGAACACAGGCGCATGATCAAAGGTGAGGGATCAGGTCAAGTAGGTCATCTAACCTAGCTGTCTGTGAAGAGCCAAGTTTAAGACCTACAGCCATGCCACGCATAACATTCTAAAAATCACATCAATCTACCTATCATTTACCTACTTATATCTATCATCTATCTACCTATCTGCATATCTATCTACCATCTATCTACACATCCATCCATCTATCCATCTACCTATCATCTACCTACCTACATCTATCTATCGTCTATCTACCTACCTGCACATTTATCTATCTATCTATCTATCTATCTATCTATCTATCTATCTATCTATCATCTACCTACCTATTTATATCTATCATCTATCCACCTACCTGTATCTATCTATTTATTATCTATCTACCTACCTTCATATCTATCTATCTATCTATCTATCTATCTATCTATCTATCTATCTATCATCTATCCACCTATCTATTTAGTATGTGGAGATTATGGAACAACCTACAAGAGTCAGCTCTTTCTTTTCCCCATGTGTCTTGGGGATTGAACTCAGATCTTCAGGCTTGGCTGCAAGTGCTTTTACTGACTGAGCCATGTTACCAATCCTATACCATGTACTTCTTTAAACAAGTGTTGAAGATGTATGGAATATGTACTGATGAGTAGAATGCAAATTTGGGGCAAGTTTCAGATTCACCCTGTTGCCAAGCCCCAACTCCCACCAGAACTACTGAATATGCTAACATTCCGTCAGGATCCCACCCAAAAAAGTCCCAGGTAATAAATATGTTAAGAGTCATGGAAAATGAGAAAATGGAAAAATAGAAAACAAAACCCAACACACAAATACACCCCATCATTCCCAGAAAGGACTTAACAGCCTCTTAAGACTTTGCTCCCACTGTACAGCTTCCGGCAAGTGCCTGTTTGCACAGCCAGTGAGAAACAGAACCCGCCGATCTCCCTTTCGTACCCCCACTTGCTTGTTCTCTTATGACGAGGGGTGGCTGAGCTGAGTTTCACAGTACCCTCAGAACGTGCCAGTGGGCTGGCTGAGACTCTCGGGGCTCGGTCTATCATCACATCTTGGTTGCAACCACAGAGAGCTTTTGTCTTTTTTTAATCTTCAGTTCAAAGGCGGGTGATTCGTCAGGGCTGACAGGTTCCGGATCGCTACTATATATGACCATAACATCACTGAACGGCCCCCACAGCTCAGCCTCCGACCCCGTTGGGAACAAAGAAAACTCCCAGGTACTTTACCAGACACTCAGAGCACCATCCTGTTTGGGACACAGTCATTCGGCACTCAAGTTTCTCAGCCCAGAGCAACGGGGTGTTGAGCTTCTGCAAGGGAAATATGTATCCAAGAAGGATGACACACCATGACTCACAGGGCTGAGACCTGGGAGGAAGAGGGAACTGGACCCCCTTTACCCCTTTATTCACATCTGACCCGAAACGAAGGTGGTCGGTGTGGGTCCACGAGTGAGAGGAACTGCTAAGAGGGATGGCTGTCACACAATGCGGGTCCAGGCCAGCTCAACCTGTCCTTGGTTTGGGTGATAAAAATGAAGTCCATTTTGAAACAATAAGGACGGTGACCGGGCAATGACTCAGTCAGTAGCATGCTCGCCTCGGAGCATGAGGACCTGAGCGCAGCCCTCAAAGTCCACACTTTAAAAAAGGCAGCATGATGGTTGTAATCCCAGAGCTGGAGAAGGGGAGACAAGTGGATCCCTGGGGCTCAGTGGCAGCCAGGCAAGTTCCCTGGGTGAGTGTCTAGTCAGTGAAAGACCCGGTTTAAAAATAAGATAATAGAAACAAAAAGTGGACAGTACCTGAGGAAGGACACACAAGGCCGTATGTTATGGTCTCCCTGCCCTCTCTCTCTCTCTGTGACATACATACAAATAAATAAATATAAATTTAATAAAAAAATTTTTTTCTCTTTTTTTTTCTTTTCTTTTTTTTTATTGAGAATAAGAAAAAAAAGTTTCCGCCTCCTCCC